TGCGAATGCAGGGCCCCGGCACCGAGATTGCAGCGTCTTCCGTGCCTGTCGTATCACAGGTCAAGGGACCGGCCCGGTTTTGAAATCACGTGTAAGGTACTTTAAGGTGGTGAGGTTCATTCCTAGAGGCTGCTATGGAAAGGTGCGAGGTCATATTATAATCGCACAGAATGCAATCCTGAATAGCGTACTTAAACCCGACCCCAAACTCTGATTTTAGGAAATGCAGGATGCAACAGACTGCCAGAGCATCATGCGACCAGGTGCCCACAGGGGAAGTTGCTTCGAGATCTACGGCTTCGACGTTCTGGCACATGCCTTGGCAGCCAGGTTCACATGTCTGGCGCTGGTTTCGCAAGTTTTGAGGGTTAGTGTTTAGGATTTAGGGTTTTGGTTTACAGAGTCTGGTTCAAAAAGGGTTTTGGTTTAGGTTTTGGGGTTTAGGGTTTCCAGTGACTGAGCGCCTGTGAGAGAGAGAGAGGGTTTCCAGTGGGTTTGCTCTGGGTTGGTGCCAGGGCGTAGTAGAAGGAACATGAAGGAACCTGGGATGAAGTTTGCCTGTAGTTGACTTTGCCGTGAGCCACGGGCAACAAAAGCCAGGGTTGTAGTACCCCTAAACCCTAAACCCTAAACCCTAAACCCTAAACCCTACACCCTAAACCCTAAACCCTAAACCCTAAACCCTAAAGCCTAAAGCCTAAAGCCTAAAGCCTAAAGCCTAAAGCCTAAAGCCTAAAGCCTAAAGCCTAAAGCCTAAAGCCTAAAGCCTAAAGCCTAAAGCCTAAAGCCTAACCCCCTCTTGGGAGCATAGGGCTTAAGACTTTGGCGTAGTTCCATGTCGGGCCGAAGAGGAGGCTGGCCTCCAGCGACCTGGGCGCACACCCCTCCGACATCCCAGCTGCTAAAGGATCCTCAAGCCTCAACCCGCAACCCGCAACCCTCAACCCTCAAGCCTCAGCCCTCAACCCTCAACCCTCAACCCCAAACCCAGGGGCGGCAAACAAGAAGCCCTAAACCCTAAACCCCAGCGAGGGCAGAAAGCAGAGTCGATGATGTTATGCAGAGACACCAAGACTGCAACATGCACCCTGCTTAGGGTTTTTGCGTTGAGGGTTCTAGGAGCTTGAACTCGGGTATACAGGGGCGTAGATACTTGCAATTCTAATCCAATTCCAATTCTAACCCTCATATGGTCAACAAATCAGCCACCCTGAATACCTTTTCTCATTTCACCGGCGTCTGAGCCGATTTTGCTGAGGTCGATCGTAGTCTGAAGCCCTGGCTGTTGGAGGTCAACATCTGCCTGGAAGCCCAAGTAGGGATGAGGGTTTGAGGTGGATGCCGCGGGGTTGGTTTACGGCTCAGTGCCGGGAAGCAAGCTCCACGAAACCCTGACCAGCAAAAAAACTGCGCGGGCCAAGGGCTTGGCGATTTGGCAGCCCCTCCCGAAGCAAAGGGTTTCTGGTTTATAGAGCCTGAGGAACGCCTCGAAAAGATGCCCCCCCTTTGGGGTTCTCTTTTTAAGTTACCCAAAGAAGGGGACTCTGACGGTAGCTTAGGAGTTCTGGGCCGGTGCGCGTTAGGGCGCGAATCGGGACCTAAAACCCAACATCTCTATGGCCATGGGTACTGGGCTTTTGGTCCTGAACAAGGGATGCACGTATATGCATATATATATATATATATGTATATATGTATATATGTATATATGCATATATGCATATATGTATATATGTAGATATGTATATATGTATATATGCATATATGTATATATGTAGATATGTATATGTATATATGCATATATGTATATATGGAGATATGTATATATGTATATATGTATATATGTATAAATGTATACAGAGCCCCGCCTAGCACTACTCATGAGCACTGAAGCAAACCCAAAATCTGAGTACTTCTAAGGAGTTGAAACTAAGCCCTTAATGAGGACACCCGGCTGTCTACTTTATATTCCTGTGATTACAAATTGCTTAAGAACCCCCCCCCCCCCCCCAAAAAAAAAAAAAAAAATGTTCTTCCTTATAAGGGTATTATAGGGATTATTGTTTTTGTGTACTTTTGTGGGGTGGGGGGTTCTTAAGCAACTAGTCGTTGATGGCATCCAGCACCATGGCCCAGAAACTGCGGAGGTCCATCCCTATCTTCCGGGTCGCCCTTGGACAAGCGAATCAAAACCAAGCTGGTGGCAGATGTCGGGCACTAAGCTGATCCGAACTTTGTGCCGTTTGAGACATGAAGTCGCAGGTGCATGCGGCAGAGCTGTTTAGGGTTTAGGGTTTAGGGTTTAGGGTGTAGGGTGTAGGGTTTAGGGTTTAGGGTCACAGTTTGCAGGGCTTGGGCCTGGGGATTCGCGACGTCGATGTGCCGAGGTCGGGCGAGCAAGACGCAGCAATTCCTCCCCAAACCCACAAGTTCCCCCAGACTCAGAACCTCCTATCTCGTACCTTCTTCGCTTCGGGCATACACCCTTGGTTTGGCATTGCACCTCTGGCATGCTTTGAAGCATTATCTGCTAAGCTTTAACAAAGCACACGCGCGCGCCATTCACCGGTGAGTTGCAAGTGCACCCAGTGCGTGCGGTAGACACATGGCAAACAAGCCCTACGCCCAAAACTCCCTACCTGCATCCCATACCTTCTTGGACCCATGTGAAGACCGTTATTGGTGTTAGGGTTTAGGGTTTAGAGTTTAAGGTTTAGGGTTTAGGGGTGGTATTTAGTGTTCCTCATAATTTGTGGTGTGTGGGGTGTAATGGCTGTCCTTTTGGGGATACTGGCTTCAATGTACGGGCATTATTTCGTCCCTCAGCCATGAGACGAGGTCCTGACGCTGGCGGGGGTTCACTCCTCAGCGCTGGGTAGGCCCCTAGGTTTAGAGTTTCGGGCTCGGGGTTTCAGAGGACCTTGTTTAGGAATGCTTTAAGCACCGTGCTGTCACTTTGCGCCATTTGGGGCTGCAGGCTCGGGAATGAGGGCCGACTATCTTTTAGAGGTTGGAGACCCTAAAGCACGATCAGGGAGGGTTTGGGGTTTAGGGTTTAGGGTTACACTTACGGTTGATAAACACATGGTGCAACTTTATGCCTGCTAAACGTGCCCTTCTTAAGAATCCCCTAAACCCTAAACCCTAAACCCTAAACCCTAAATCCCCTATCATCGCGCGGAAAGGCTTGTAACTATAGCCCCTGAGGAGTTATTTGTATCTTATTCACATGACTAAAGCCCAAAAGAGTAGAATTATAGTGTTAGTAAGGTTCTAAGGGGAGTATCGGTAAGTCTTCATGCCTCAAGCTATTCACGCGTAGTTTAATTAAGTCCCAACCCAGCGGTTCCGCAGAGCCGGGGAGTGGCAGCCATTGCCAGAGTCAAATGCTGCAGTTTAGGGTTTAGGGTTTAGGGTTAGGGTTTAGGGTTTAGGGTTTAGGGTTTAGGGTTTAGGGTTTAGGGTTTAGGGTTTAGGGTTTAGGGTTTAGGGTTTAGGGTTTAGGGTTTAGGGTTTAGGGTTTAGGGTTTAGGGTTTAGGGTTTAGGGTTTAGGGTTTAGAGGAGCCTTAAGGTGGTAAGCACAGAGTATGGAATACTCCGAACCGTACACCCGAAACGGAGGCCCTGCACTTAGCATTGTATAAGGCTTTGGGAAGGGGCCGCGAATTTCTAAGACCGAGTTTTTGGCATTTCTTTCTACAAATGAGTTTCCTATAATAAGCAAGTATGGCTTTCCCTCTTTTTGTTTATGATCAGAGTTCTATTCATACCCCGACCGAGAACATAAGCGGTCATGCATCTTGAGGTTACCATCTTTTGCCAATACAGCCAGCTAGCACATCCTTGTATGGCAACGGCGATGCCCTGAATCCTAAACCCTAAACCCTAAACCCATCTTGATTTCCGCTTCAGAGGCCCGTTGGTCAAGCCACATTTTGTTCCATCCCTTGCTTCGGCATTGGAGAATCGTAGAAGTTGTACGTGCATCTGTTCGAAATTGCCATGCTTCTACCAATAAACATGCCTGCGCATGCTTTGTTTGTGCACAGGCTGATGGAGTTGTAGTTTCCGCGCGACATTCCACTTATAGGGCTCAATTCTGCGCCGTCGCCCCATGATGGCCCTGGAGAAATCCACCCCTCAAGAGGGAAAATGAGCTCTAACCCTAAACCTTCCGTTCCTCTGCACAACCCCTCGGATCGCAACCACACTTGAGGTGCATCCGCCCACGTCTCTTTGGAAGCTAAGTCCGCTCCCCCAGCGGTCAGGGTTCAGGGTTTTGGGTTTTGGGTTTAAGGCTTGCGGAGGTAAGGCAGCAAGTCAAGGAAGTGGGTTTATCGGTTCAGCTGGATGCTAGCAGCACAAAGCCGCATACTTCGGAAGCATGTTCTCACCAACAGTGGCCCCACGTCATCCGTGAGGTGGTAGCTGAAGGTTTTTGGAGAACTATACTTTAATTCTTTTTTGGGGTTCTCGGTTCCTATGATAGCTACTTATGCTTAGAAAATATACTTTCCTTTTTCGAGGGTCTCCTCCAAAGTAGGGAAAGATGACGACCCGTTGTCGCCACGCCAGTAACCCTAAACCCTAAACCCTAAACCCTAAGCCAGTGGTCGACTCTTGGCGACATGGGGCGCCTTGTGTCGTTGACACGTGCGGACGCATGCTGGGAAAGTTCATGGTACTCATGAACCAATTACAACTGTTTAGGGTTCAGGGTTCAGGGTTCAGGGTAACTGTACTTATAACCATATCAGGCAAGTGGTTGCTGCAGCCACGTGCCTCAAAGCAAGGGCATCCCCCTCACACTATGCGGCCCAAAAGATAAGCGTCATGATGTTCCAGCGTTTTGACGAGGACCCGGTCCTTACTAGGTAAGTGAAGGGGCAATCATGTCTCAAAGGGCTTGGTACTGTAGCTCCCGGGCAATCTCAAAATTCCCAGTGCCAAACTCCAGTGCCGACCCTTAATTCATCCTAGCGTCCGAGCATGTAGCGCTATGCACGACCCAGAGACCAGCCCTGTTGGGCGACTGGATGAGTACATCCGGAGCTTCGAGAAGAAGTATGGCGCTGTTCCAGTTGAGATCCAGGCACATGACTTGCAAAGCTCGATTGGTAGCTTTGTGGAACCTGTGGCCGTTCGGCAGAGCCGTGAGGAAAGAGATCCAGGAGATGGCCTACTGGATGGCTTGACAAGTCCTGCAAGAGAACTTTGCTCACTGCCGGCCAGCATGACGACCCCCAGATATCCATGGCAGGTCACCCCATCAGAGCCAGTGAGGGCATTGCCTTTCAAACTCCGAAGCCCGGAAAAAGATGTGTTTATGCCTCGGGTTCGGCCGACTCTGCCAGATGCTAGCTACAGAGTGCCTTCCTTTCTTGGAAGTGACTTGATGTCAACAGCCTGCGGCTCTTCGAGCTTAGGCTTAGGCGCGGGAGTGGGAGCTTCACGGCTGGATCCCCCAGCAATGCCAGAAGCATCGGTACCTGCCTTGGACATCTCAAGCGTGGAACCCACGCGCATGAGCACGCCACTGCGCTTCGAAAGAAGTTCCTTTTTCACGCCGGCGCCAGAAGCAGAACACCGCGCTTGTCAACGGAGCTATGGGCAGGGGCAGGCGTTCGCGCCCCTTCCCCAGTCCTCTTTTTGCAGCTATGCTGCACGCTCCAGCTTCGCGACAGACACTGCCACTTCCTCGAGCCTGTCGTGCATGGTTCCGCGTGCGGTCTCAGGATCTAGAGGTGATCCAGGCCTGGCCCCCTGCGCGCGCATGGAGCGCGCACGAGCTGCCAGCAACCCCCCACGGCTTCAGCTCGCAGGCCCAAGTGGACGCCATCGTGTGCATTCGACCGGCCGCTCTGCACCGAGAGCCTCAAACTCCATAAACTCCAACTTCGGCTCGAAGCTGGGCCCCGAGAGACTTTGCACAGACACCAGCTTCCGTGAGCCGTGGGCACCATTGCCGGCTCCACGCGGGCCGGTGCCCCAGGTCTGGCAGAGGCCTTCCGGAGCCGATGCCAGCAGCGGCTCCCGGAATCCCCGGAAGGGCTCCGAGTCCCTGGAGCTGTCCGGGCCGCCTCAGCTGGCCTCACCGCCGCGAAACCCGCGAAGCGGCAGTGCCGGGCCGCTGCCTGTTGCGCAGGCCTCTGCTCCGCTGCCGCTGAAGGATGCTGCGGTCCAGCTCGAGCATGGCCAGTTGCGTGCTCCAGAGGCACAGGATGAGGTGATCTGCCAGAGCCCCAAAAACCCCCACACATCCCAAGCATTTGCATCCGAAGGCCAGCCAACCACCACAGGCTCTTGTGAGATGGCTGTGCAAACAGACTCTGTTGGCACAGCTGCCGGCTTTGCCAAAAGCCACCGGGAAGAGCCTCAGCCAATTACCGAGCCCGTTTCTGCTCTGCACTTCCCCAAGACGGGTGTCCAGACTGACTGCAACGTGGATAGGCATGCCGAACGGAGAGACGAGTGGGTCGGTGACAGTGGAATGGGCACTTGGAGATCTTCTCTGTCGCACAATGGCACTGCAAGAAGGGGTCTCGCTGAACAGATGTTGCTAAGCCAAGACCAGCTGGCAGGAGTGGGTGCACTGGGCACCCCTGAGAAGCTGCGGTTTTCTGCCATAAAAGGCGACACGCCCGACTTCGGGGACGTGGTCAGCGCTCAAGCTTCCAGCTTGTGGCAGGGATCCTTTGATGCCAGCCGGCCTTTGCCATCATGTGACATAAGCATCGAGCGTGGCGAGATGCTGGCGCCGGGGCTCAACGGTCCTTCTGTCGCACAAGCGGCTCATCACGGAGAGAGCTTCGACTCAAAATCTACGGACGCCGTGGAGCTCGAGCGGTTGAACCAGCAGCTGCTCAAAGCACTGGGTCGAGCGTTGTCCCACCTGCGTCAAATGCAGAATCTGGCAGCGCCCTCCAGTTGGGACAGGCCGCACGCGGTCTAATTCACCCAAATGTATCTTAACCGCGCAGGCGCAAGGAAAGGGTGAACCGTATTGAAGGGCGTTTGTTGCCAGTAAGACCGTGGGACCCCTCAACCCTAGACCCTAACGTCATGCCTCTTCAGTCAAGGGGGTTCTCTTTCATTTCGGATGGTAGAGCCCACCCACGTCTGTGCAGCATGGCTTGGGGGAATCCATCGAATTTTCTTTGTCAAATTCCTTTGGACCCTCGCAGCATGTTAATCCCTCCAACCACTTAAGACTCCGAAGCCCTAGCTCGAAACAGCGCTACTCTAAAACGGGGTCTCGAACTTCGACGGGCTATTCAGGCTGAAAGGGGGTTTAGCCTGTTCGGGAGCAGAAATTCACGGATGCGTGAGGTGTAGGCAGCGGGGTTGGTTGAGCGTTGAGGATGAAGGGCTTGGAGATGCAGCATTGCAAACTGCTGGCCTTTGGAACCCCTGCCCCCCACCCGGATCACCCACCCATCCACCAGTTTCAACACCATCCAGAGACAGAAGCAGAAGCGACCTCCGCATTAACATGCTGGATTTGAGCCAGGCGTTAACCTTGAGCTCCTCGAATTTAGCCTAAGAATTCCCCACTGTATCCCGAGCCAGAAAGTCAACTCTGAAACCCTCAGCCCCTTGAACCAGAGCAGGTCCCACCAGTGTGAATTGGCCTGCGGGGCAAGAGGCAGTGCCTGTGTAGGGTTTCGGGTCTAGGGGTAGACTTGGGCGCTGATGGGTTTGTGAAGCGCGGCTATGCGTAGGGGAGCTGGTACATACAACCCTGCTTCAAACATGCCCCTGAATCTCCAAGGAGGATTTAAGTCCAAGAAGCTTCAGGGTTCCGGGCTGCAGGGTTTCGGAGTGTGGTGACGCTCCAATCCCTGAAGCCCTCAACCCTAAACCGGAAGATGCATCGTCACTCATGAAGACCCCCATCCGACGCCAAGCTCTGCTTACCTGAGTCCTGAAGCCACATTTTCGGGGTTGAGTCTAACGTTGAGCGGCCTGTGAGGTTTTAGCAGCCTGGGGGCTTCGGGTAAATGTCGTTAGCAATCGGATGTGGGGGCGTTGCGTGGTGCAGCTTGCTGTCACGGCACCTTCGCTTGGACTCAAGTTTGGACTCCTCCATACCCTTCCACGCTACGGGCCTTCTGAACTCCACCAGCCGCACCGAAAGCAAGCCTCCTCAGTTCTCAAAGCATTTCAAGCATCTCTACACCTCGCAACTTGAACTCGCAAAAATGACCTGGCCTACTGGCACCATACAAGCGCAGGGCAATGTGGAATCCATCATGGATGAGCACGAAGCCGCCACCACTGCCACAGGCACTTTGGAGTGTTCTTCGGATTATAGAAATGTACTAATATGTGAAATATTGAAACAAGTTACAACGGACCTCTTCCTTCGCCTGTCAAGGTTTTGTGGCCCAAAGACTTCACTAGGCGTACAGTTCGCATTCAGAAGCCCGAGCCTGAAGAATTCATCAACAATTCGGTTTGCGCGAAGGGGAGGGGCACCTTTATGCTTTACGGCTCAGCAGACGTGCCTGCGGGCACGGATTTGGAGCGCCAACCCTCCTGACCTTCTTTCGGGCAACCATCTGTACTTGTTTCGCAGGCCATATCTCCCTTCTGCACCTCATAGCAGGGATGGATGATTCAGCGCTTCGGGTTTGGGATGTTCTTGTCGTATGTGCCACAGCCTTTAGCACAATTCACAGTCACAGTGCTACATGTCTTGCAGGCTGCCAGCTCTCTGACGAGGAGATGGCCAAGAGAGCAAGACGATTGGCTGGTAGCCAAGCGATGATTCTCCATGTTCACAGGTACAGGTGGAGGTTCAGAAATTCTGAGGGGGTGAAAGGACTTGAGGGCTCAGGGTATAGGAGTTTAAGGTCAGAAGACGGTGAGATGACGGTCAGATGACTGTTGGATGGGTCCGGCCGGAACAATGCAAAAGTCGCGTGCTGACTGTCACATCATCTGCAGTATCAAAATGCGGTGATTGCTGGTGGCACTTCTCGGCTGCGCGAAGCACCCGGATGTTGCTGGACATGGGCTCAACTAAGCTAGCGTTCGGACCGTGCTTCTCACCAAGGTGAGAAGAAGGCAGCAGTGCTTTGCGCACCCTGCCGAGAGGCCACATTGAGTGCGAACGAAAGACCAGACGCGACCGACCCGGCCAAATCGAAACGTGATTTCAACGCCTTCGAAGATGTCAGCTGCCAGCAGCTGTTGCATTGTACTTCGAATCTCTCATTCTTGCATGTCAAGGTCCACACGAGCTTGTCTCAGCTGCCAGGATGCCCAACAGCGTGTCTTCATGAACAGATATGAAAAGTCAAAGTTAAGACTAACACCGCGGGCAAACATGTCTTCTGAAGTGTGTTCGACGGTATGTCCTTTCATGTCGAAACCCACGGCGTTTAGATTGCAGCGGCGCCAAGTTGAATCAGGCATCTCTCCTTCGTGCGCAGGGCGGATTGCAGGCATTTTTTGTTACCGGACTTCTGTTATCACATGTATGACATCGAAGAAGGGTGTCCGGAGCAATTTCCTCGTCGAGCCACCGAGTGTGGCATTGTTGCACAGCCTCGGACACCATCACTATCCAAGCGGCACGGGTGCAGCCCCCACGTCGCCCAATGTCGTCCAGTGACATGCTTGTGGGCCCCTGAACCGAAAGAGCGCCTCAGAACGACCGCAACCCGCCGCCCAGGCTTCTTGCGACAGCCTGGCGCCGAGCTGTGCTGATGAGCTGGGCTTTCGAGTGAAGTCGCAATATGTTTGTTTAAGGGGTTTAGGGTTTAGGGTTTAGTGTTTGTTCGGGCTTAGTCTCTCAAAATTGAGGGAGAAGAGGTGCAGGCTTCGGCTTGGCTTCGGCTTTCGGAATCTTTGGGACGCCTCGGATGTAGTGGTGGAGGTATCAGATCCGAAACCCCAGCCCGCTCACTTACGGGTTCAGGCTTCGGGTCCAGCCGTGGCCAGGTCGTAGGGTTTTGTGGCTAGGACAAAGGGAATGTTTCATACTTCCCGGTCCCTCCTTTGGGCTTAGGAGGATGTTGTTCGGGCTTCTTTACGAAGGGCTTAAGAGAAGTGAAACGTTGCGAAACATTGCGGCCAGGTCCGCAGGAAGCCCTTCAGCTCTTCGATGAGGCTGCAGGGAGCCTTGGAGCTTTCACGCGCAGGTCTATATTCTAGTGATTCTAGGGTTTACGGTTTAGGGTTTAGGGATTCTAGTAGTCGAGTATGTAGCGCGTGTATGGCGGGTCAGCCAGCAGAGCTGATCCCGTTGTACCAGCAGCTGGTTTTTCTGGCATTCCCCACCCAGCCCAGATGGAAAAAAAAAGAAGGGATTCCAGTGGTTACGGATTAATTCGACTGGGTATTTGGTGGACATATATATATATATATATATATATATTTTTGTTTTTGCGCAGCTTCGGATATGGGGAAAACAAGGGCATTGTTCATCCCCTTGTTGAGGTTGGACATGAGGTTTGTCAGTGGAGCGCTCAAGGAAGCGAAGGTGGCAAGTTGAGGGCTTTAGAAGCTGATCTCAGGTACCCTAAACCCTAAACCCTAAATCCAAGGCCGTCCATTTCGGAAGTCTTGAAGGTTCGTGGCTTCGTGGGTAGTGGTTGTTATAAGCAGGGTTTTCAGAGCCCAAAGACGGAACGAACCAGATACGACTCCAGCTACCCTACTTTAAGCCCAAGTCAGAACTGCCTATCCTAAACCCTAAACCCCAAACCTCAAACCCTAAACCCTGAACCTCCAAGTACTTGTAGGGATTCAAGCCGAGGCGTGGGAGCTGTGCGTTGAGGCGCACGAAGAGGACCGAGGGGAGCACTCGTATTTTGAAACATCGGACCTTGAGGAATCTCCGACTAGCAGGGTGGCCTGGGACCTGATGTGCGCTTCACAAGGCTTTGGAGTGTAGGTTCGGGCCGGTTAGGGAATGTCGTTTGTACTTCTGATGGGGTTTGGGACCCCGTGTGCTGCGTACTCCACAGATCCCAGCACTGCCTGGCTTCCCCTTCCTTTATATCCCCCTGGGTTTTCTTTTATTTTGCTTATACAAAACCCAAGAGGATATTTAAAATGTTGTTTCTTTTGAGGTTCGAAGGGGAGTATAGTCCTTTTTTATCAGCTATTGGTAGTCCTTTTCTGACGGAGGACAAATCAAATGAGCATGATCAGTCCAGGTCCTCTTCGATGACATCACTGTTTTGCAATTCGTAAGTCTGCCGTCAAATTAGAAGGAGGATTAGGGTTTAGGGTTTCTCTGAACCAGACACTGGACACATCGGAGGGCTCAAATAGCCGGGAAGCCTCCAAGGCTCCATATGTAGACGGAACCCTTTCGGTACCGAGTTTCTCCAGCCCTCAGCCCTTCCGAAGGACATGCGCTCGGGCGGGCTGGAACGGGCATACCCGTGTCCCAATGGTGGGGAGCACCGGCCCCAGTAGGTTTTCAGCCGCACAGCTTGTGGGACCCAGGGCCCTAGAGCCCCCCGCCACGTGCTAACTCTGCGCGATCCCCTTGCTATGCACGACTCAGCCCCTTAAAGGATCGAGTTGCGACCTTAAACCCAAACCCTAAACCCAAATGTCAAGACCTATAGGCCTGTTCACAAGACCCTAAACTCTAAACCCGCCCTAAACCCTCAGCCCCTATGACCCTAAACAGGCTCTGATTCAACACCCACTCCTCTCAGGCTGCTCCGGTGGACCTTTAGGAAGGCCAGGGACCTTAAGACCGGTTCATGAATGTGACCACAACCAGACTTCACGATTCTAAGTGTCATGCTTAGGGTTTAGGGTATAGGGTTTTGGGTTCGCGGTCAGAGTACAGGGTTTAAACTTGGTGCCGATGGGCGCTGACCTGAGGTATTCGTGCTACTGGCCGGAGGAGTCGTATTGCAACCTCGTGCTGAGGAAGTGGCAGGAAGCCGGAGGCCGGACTCAGCGGTTTAGGGATGACTAGTG